TTGAAAGCTATCTTAGGAGAGATTGTACCTGAGACCATTCTTTAAAAATTATTTATTAAAAAAAATAAAAATTATTTATTCATGAGAGACACACACAGAGACAGACAGAGAGACAGAGACAGAGAGACAGAGACATAGGCAGAGGAGAAGCAAGCAGTCTCCATGCAGGGATCCCAATATGGGACTTGATCCTGGGACTCCAGGATCACACCCTGAGTCGAAGGCAGATGCTTAACTGCTGAGCCACCCAGCCGTCCCCTTTTTTAAAAAAAATTAAATTATTTATTTATTCATGGGAGAGAGAGAGAGAGAGAGAGAGAGAGAGAGAGGCAGAGACATAGGCAGAGGGAGAATTTTTTTTTAATAGGATTTTTGGGTTTGTAGTAATTGTACTGGGCCTCAAGGAACAGGAATCTAGAAAACAGTGATTTAAAAAATTAGAGGTTTTGTTACTCTTACATTTGGAAGTTGGAGGTTAGTGCTGAGATTGGGGCTCCATGAAGCCCCTAGGACCCCTCCTATGTTTCTACTCAGTAATCCTTATCCTGTTCTTGGGGTGTCAAGGTTAAATACGGTTGTTCCACCTGTAACATTATGCGTACAGGCAGGAAGAAGGGTAAGGTCAAAGGATCTAGTCAGCTGAATCTATCTGCCTTTTAAAGGGCTTTCCCACAAATTCCATCTGGTGACTTTCACTTATATTTAATTGGCCTGAACTGTGTTACATGACTGTTCATAGGTGCAAAGGAGGCTGGGAATTGCAGCTTTCAGCTGGGCTCATTGCCACCCTGACAAAAATTAACATTCTGTTAGTAAAGAAGAAAGGGGAATGGATATTGAGTAGGCTTCTAGCAGTGAGTACCACATTCCATACCATTTTGGCATTTTATTCAAGTTAATGTGGCTTCTGGGAGAATGAACCAAGTTTTAGCAAACAAAAGTAAATCCTCCAGAAACTCTTCTCTCCTTTGTATACCCATTCAAAGGCATACAAGCGATTTTTCTGTACTGGTATTTCATATGATACATGTTATAGTTCTGCTCCATTAGTACAGATCATCTTGAATTGAGTATATTTGTGGGTGTACATGTGTAATTATTTATACAGCTGCCTCTGATGGCCAATTGTTTATTTAGTACTTTTCCTCCTCTCACTTTCTTCTTCTCTATGTGGATACTTCCAGAACCATTTCCTTCCAGCTCCCGAATCTTGGTATCTAAGCCAGTCCTCACTCATGACTCTGCAGTCCATTGCCGCTTCTTGTACTCACCCAGTTTGGACGAGCTGTTTTTAGCAATTTTGCTGCCCCAATAAATATCTCCTGTTAGATTTCATTTTGTGAATAGCTTTTCATGCCATCTAGGATGTGCAGCTCTCTGTGATATTTTCACGTTTACTGTGCTTTCATTTAGATGACATTTTAAAAATGTAAGCAATTGTGGGTCACTTGAATGGCTGCCTTAGAAGTGAGTGCTGACCATTGATTTCAGTGCCTGCACAGGCATTTGTGTTTTTATTGTACCAATGGGCATTACTATAATTATCAATAGCCTACACACAAAAAAAAGAAGACAGAGGGACTTTGTATTCCAATATGAGGCATTGGGGACATATAAAGTTCAATGAAATCACCATCTTTTGTTATTTTAACAAAGGCTTTACCCTAGTTCAAATAAGTAAAATCATAGCCCCAAAGGTTATCAGTTGCCGAATTTAAAAGAACCTGTAGTGGGACAGTGAGTCCGATATTAGGACTGGAAATCTGTTTCCATACCAATGGTATCATTCGTCACATTGAATGAATACCATTAATTTGAGTATTTGTTATTTTTGTTAGTTTAAATTTAATGTATGGATTTTTATACTTGCTTAAGAGCTGTAGGCATAAGATACTCACATATAGTTTTAGTTTTGTACAAATTTAAATAGCAATATGCTAATGATATCCAAATGGCACTTCAGGTCTATGTATACTCTTTCTTTTAAAGAGGATGTATTTATCACCCAGTGGTATAGAGCTAGGTCAGCAAACTTTTCATGTAAAGGACTAGATAGTAAACACATCTGGCTTTGTTGGCCATATACAGTCTCTGTCAAAACTACTTAACTCTGATATGGTAGTATGAAAGCAGCCATAGTATGTGAACAGATGAGCATAGCTGTGTCCAATAACACTTTGCTTACAAAACTAGGCAGCAGACTTATTTGGAGTATGCCGACTCCAGGGCTAGAGAGTTTGGTCCCAGTTCCTTGGATTGACATATAGTCTGTTTATCTTTCTAAGCTCATCTCTTACCCACTCTTCTGAACAGTCACTATGCTCTAGCTATTACAGAGCTGCTTCATTTGCCAAGTATGTCATACTCTCCCATGATTCCATGCCTCAGCTCATGTGCCCTAACACTTCCTTTCCCATCTTTTTAAACCAACTAACTCCTACTTTCCCTTGAAGATGAAACTTAAAATGTGCTTCCTCTCAGAAGATGTCTCTGGCCCCTTGTGGCCGAATTAATGCTTCTCTCTGCCCCTTTGTGCTTCCTTGAATTCACTCTGTGCTCCCACATTTTTAAGAAACTCATCTGCATTGTAACATTTTTAAGAAACTCATCTGCATTGTAACTGGGCAATTATTTGACTGTTTTACTTTCTTCCCCTTTGGGATGAGCTCCCTCTTCTCTATAGCAAAATGCTATTCCATCCTTAAAATTATTACCTCAACCCCCAAATTTAGAGGATTGATGGAAAGAACAGAAGGAAATGAGTGTGAATTTCACTTCAATGATGTATTTACCCAACAAAACTCATAAGTGTCCCAGTTTTCTTTAAATTGACAGTTAGATGTTCTTCCATCTGTGGAAATGGGGGCTTGTGAGCTTTGTCAGTTTTGAAGAAATAAAGGAAGTTTTATGTTTGTACATCTGGGTTTCATGACTACAAAATCGATGCCTGGGGTAGAAGTTAACTTTGACAAATGGAGGAAAACAGTTGCAAAATAAAAGAAAAGAAGAAAAAGAAGAAAATCTGTAGTGCATGTTTGGAGTATAGGAAGGTAGCCTGGGTTGGAGATGAAAGTCTGGAGTTTTGAGCAAGGGGAAGGTCAGAGAGGACTATATAGGGAAGCAGGCCTGAGAGTGATGGAGGAAATAGGGGTGGAAGCAGTAATCCTGAGCCCTGGGCGGGGGAGATTTGGGGATTCAGGGGTCAGCAATATTGGACTCTCCTTCTCCTTCTGTCCCCTTTGCCTCTCCTTGCTTCTTCCCACTCCCTTCCTCTCTGTTTTCTCTAGATGTTTCTACCCTGCCTTGTCTTTTCCTGAACTAGCCATAATATGGTACTAAAGTAAATATTATAGTACTTATTTAAAATTTTATTTTTTTCTGTTTGAAAGTGTTAATGTAGGTCTGTTGATCTCTTTTTTCTTAAAATAATAACAACTCAAATCACTTAACTTTTAGGAATTTTAATTTTTTCTACGTTACTTGTTAAGGTAAAAAAATTTCTAATGGTTACACATTTTAGGAGAAACTCAGATCTTAAAAACACAAAGTTCATAGTGACATTTTTGTTCTATTTTGATGATATAATTATGATTACACTAAAGGGAAAAAAGCATACTAAAAATTAAGTAATTTTATTAAGCCATGAATGACTAGCATTGAAAATACTATAGGGACAATAAAGTAATTAAAAAAAAATGGTCAGTGGATAAGATCAGGGATAATGCTTAGGTCTTCCAGGATCGGCACCTTCATACACACAAATATACATAAACAAGATGGTGAAGTAAGGATACTGTGGCTGAATTGCCTAATTAGAAAAATATCTTTGAAATTTGAAAACCAAGATGCAATTGTAAGATTTAAGAGTGATTTTAGACCAGATTCTTGTGTAGATCTCTGAGCAGGCGTTTTCCTGTATGTGATTTAGATCCTTCTATGAATGTTAGTATTAAATATGTGCTTTCACACCAAACACAGGTCACATATACATTACTAAGGATTAGATCCTCCACAGGAAATGACATTGGACACATTTTATAGTTAAGATCATTGCTTACGATTTGAGGAATGCTAACACTTGTCATCTGGTCTTTAAAATAAAAACTCTTCTGTCCTGAGTACTTCTCATTAGATGAAGATGTTAGTGATTTTATGAAAACCTTATATTTTACCAGATTATATTATTAACAGGGTCGAAATTTCAGATATATTTTTTAAAGATTTTATTTATTTATTTATTTGAGAGAGAGAGAGAGAGAGAGAGAGAGAAAATGAGCACATGAATAAGGGGAAGAGGCAGAAGTAGAGAGAGAAGTAGACTCCCTGCTGAGCAGGGAGCTGGATTTGGGGCTCAATCCCAGGACCCTGAGATGATTACCTGAGCCAAAGGCAGCCACTTAACTAACTGAGCCACCCAGGTGTGCCCCTCAAATAATATATATATATATATATATATTTTTTTTTTTTTTACAAAGAAGACCTAGTGTCTTCCTTTAGTCAACACATGGAGGTTAGTGGTCCTTCACTGGAAACAAAATCATCACACCATGTTGTGTGCCAGATGTTATATATGTAGCAGCTCAATGGTCACGCCAACCATGTAGGATGAGTTCTATGACTTCCTCTGTTGGAGATGTGCAAGCAGAGACAAAAAGTGTAGGTAACTCACCCAAGGTCACACAGGTAGTGCATGGCAGAGCCCAGGATGATGTCCCCTACAGTCTGGCTCCTGAAGCCATGGGCTTCATCTCCATGCTTTACTTCTTCTCACAATTCTAATTCCCAAGTATGCCAATTTCCTCTAATTGCTGCAGGATATTCATTCCCTGTCACTGTCTATTTATGATCTATATGCGCCTTTTGTGAATAAAACCGGCAAAGCTTTGTCTATATAAATGACCTGTGTTAATGTCTTTTGGCATTAAGATGGCTCATGGGAAAATAGAAATTATATTTTGCAGTCCTTGTCTGGTTTCCTCAGTAATGGATTATGTCTACAGGATATGAATTCAACCTGTGGAAAAACTGAAAGACTCATCATTAATAACGGTACAACTGACATCATACAGCTCCTGATGTGACACACCGGGAAGGACACAACATCATCTGTGATAGTACTGCCAGAATGTTTCACCTGAATCTAATCATGAGGAGGAAACAATCAGGCAAACACACACTTAAGGACATCCTGCACAGTAGCTGACCTGCGCTCTTCAAAGGCATCAATGTCATAAAAGACAGGCTGAAGAGCTGTTGAAGATTGATGGAGACTAAAGAGACAGGACAATTAAATGCAATGTGTGGACCTCCTTTGAGTTCTGGATCAGGAGAAAACAGCCATAGGGGATATTTTTGGGACAAACAGGTAATTGTGTACATAGATTGCATTTTAGATAACGTTAAGTCTCCTGAGTATGATAAGCTGTGAGAGAATGAGATTCCTCTTAGGAGACAGATATGATGCGTGTGCAAATACACATATACACATATAGACAAGTTAAGATGTTAACAGTGAATCTACATGAGTGAATAATTGGTAATTATTGTACTATTCTTACAATTTTTGGAGGGTTTGTTATGTTCATAAATTTAAAAACTAGATGGAATGGAGTAAGTGGAGATACATATAGATTAAACAAGATCAGCCTAGAGTTGGGCATGCTTGAAGCTGGGTGTTGATTTCATAGAGTTCATTATGTTATTCCACTTCTTCATGTGTTTGAAATTTTTCCTAATGCAAAGCTGTGAAAAACAGAAAGATTCAGTCACATTTCCTGCTGCTGATTCTCATGAAATGATAACAATAAACTGCCATGAAGATTCTCTACTTTTCTGTATCTTACCCTCACCCCTACTCCTCTCCACTCCTAGGTATCTTTTCCTTACCTGGGTCCTGACTCCACCCCCTCCACCCATAATCCACTCATTGATTATCCAAGCTTGAAGACAAGGGACTTTATTATTTTTTTATCTTACCAAACTCCATCAAAAACCCTTCAAGGCAGGGCAGCCCCGGTGGCCTGCAGCCCAGGGCGTGATCCTGGAGACCCTGGATCGAGTCCCACATCAGGCTCTCTGTATGATGCCTGCTTCTCCCTCTGCCTGTGTCTCTGCTTCTCTCTCTGTCTCTATGAATAAATTAAAAAAAAAAAAGAAGATTAAAAAAAAAAAACCCTTCAAGGTCTGCCCACCATTTTCAGAGGAAGTTGCCCACTTCTGCACAGCCTGGGCCTCTTTACTCTCCATATCCTGTCCCTGGGTCCTGGGCTCATGCTGTTTCAGATCTCTGCTTCCTATACCTATGGCTCCTTCCTCTCACCAAAATGTTCTTTTCCTTCTTACTTACATAAGAGCGTATTCATTCTTCAAATGTCAATTCTTGGCGAAATCTATCCCTGGTTTATCTGCTTAGGGTAAAGCTCCAGTGTGGGCTTCTAAGGTAGTAGGCACATTTCTCTGATAATATTTAACCCAACAGAAATGACAGTTCTCTGTGATTGAATTAACGCTTTCTGCTCTCACTAGGTTGCAGGCTCTCTCGTGTATTTGTTTTGCTTATCACAGTATCCATAGTTGGATCTTGATAATAACATATATTTTCAATACATACTTTTAAAAATAGTTTTTTTCCACTAAAAATATTTAGATTTTTTGTCCTTATTGAGTTCCATCATACTTACCTCAAAAAGGATAAGGGATTGTCTTCTGAAGCTCTTCATTCCAGGTCTTCCCCCAACTCCTTTAACTGAGGCTAATTTCAGTTCTTAAGTTGATGTGATCCCCTCTGACAATATAGAAACATTATTGTCATAATGCTCCTTGAAAAATCGGTTAAGTCACTTGGCTTCTGTTTGCTTTCATAATCAATATGACTTCATGCAAAACGATGCAGCAGTTCACATCATTCTGTCAGTCCCCGTGAAGGAAATATTATTTTCCCAAATTAAAATTGTGAATCAACTCACAGGAGGATGTCGTCAAATAAACAAAGAATCATCGCTTATATTACGCTGCCAAGTTTTTGATAAGCGTAATGCCTCTAAATGCATTTAACTTTAATGAAGAGTAATACAATTTAATAACAACATAAAATGGAATCATTTATCTTCCCGATCCTAAACATTGGGCAGATGTCTTCTCTTAATCCATCCTTTCAAATGCAAGTTTTCTTCCTCTTTTTCTTCAGATTTGTCTCCTCATTTCTGTATATGTGGTTTGTGGAGTGATCTATATATATATATACATGTTTAATTAAATCACTCATCAGGCTAGCATTTTCATGGTTGGAAATCTCTGGTATGCGTTATTTCAAGTTCTTGAGGCAATGATATTTATATAACCAATACAATTTGGTAATTATTAGCATATTAGTCAAAATGTTTCAATTGGAAGTGACATAAAACCAAACTCAAACTAACTTAGGCAAAAAGGGGAATTTATTGGCATATGCAACTGGGGAGACCAAAGGTGGATGCTGGTTTCTCAAGCTCAGATGAGGTGGGTGGAGGTCTCTCCTCATCTCCTGACTTGCTTTTCTCTGTGTTAATTATTCTCAGGTAAGGACTTTACTAACACCTGGCAGGGGAATGAGCATGAAGCAACAGTAGGTCATTCATTGATATAGGGTGACCTTCAGATATTTACAAACTGAGAAAAGAGCTCCAGCCCAAGCTGGGATTTAGAGTCTGCCTGGATATCTGTTAGTGTAATATGCACTTTTTTTTTTAATATTAATGAGAGGTTTTGTTAGAGGCCCTTTCTAGAGGTGGGGAGAACTTACTAGTTTTTGAGCCTCTATGAAAAGCAGAATTATAACAGAAAGTGAAGTCATTGTTTTTAGAAAGGATTTTGTAAACATGAAGGGAATGCAGGACAGTTTTGGTGCTTTAAGGGCATAATAGCTTTGAAATGCTTCCAGGGGACATCAGTGCAACAGAGGACAGCATCTCACAGAAAACAATGATAAGCCCAAAAGCTATAGTTTCATTCCTGAATACCCTCTGGAGACTTTCAGAGCAACTTGAATCTCTGGGGCACAGAAGCAGAGTAATGTGGGTTATAATAATGATAGATTTAGCCCCTTGTTTCATGGAGGATATTTCTAATTAGTTTTATATGGGTACATTACATGACCTCAAAGGTTTCTTGCAGAGATGGAAACAGTGTGGAAGACATTGTCAGAGTGAGAGTAAATGAGAAGATAGAAAGGAGTGAGTTATTTTGTGTTAGTAAATATTTCATTTCGATAATTCATGCAATTTATATAGAAAGCTAGCGGCATTATCACATGATATTTTCATTTGTTGCCTATAAGACAGTTGTGCTATTGCTCTGTATAGGTTTTCAAAAATAGAATCAATGTTAGAACAGCCATTTCAGGCATATTGCCACTAACTGAGAGATATGAAGAATCCCCACATTGAGAACCACTTCCTGTATAACCTCTTCTCTGGTTAAAAGCATTTCAAGTATTTGAGAAGCATGTATAATGGGATTGCAGAGACTTATACATTCAAATCAATCATGTGATCTGTAAATTGTTATCTAGGAAAAAAATCTCTATTACTTTTGTTTGTATAAGCTCACATCCTAAATAAAACTGCTGCCAGCAGAATGCTCATTAAAGTGGATTTAAGATTCCAAATGAAAAGTTATTGATTTCAAAAAGGATAAACACTACTAAGCCTCTAGAATCATCTGAAGTTATTAAATTACCAATTTAGTTACTGTCATTATTTTTTTTACTGTCTTGGTTATTTATTAAGCAAACTGTAGAAGGTATAATGTTTGAAATGAAACTGGAAGATATCAGCCAATAGTTATTTTTCACACAGATTTAGAAATTAATGATCTGCTGAAAAATGGTGATGGGTTTGGTTTCTCTCACCCCAAATTCCTGGCCCTCATAAAAAATATAGCCTACTTCATGTCTATAGGAAGGCAAGATTAGGATGGGTGTCAGATGATAAATTTTTAGCTACCAGCATCTAGCCAAAAGAGCCTGACTTAGCCCTATCACATTTCACATGTATATTTATGTACTGTACCATTTGGGTATTATAATAAAAATTTTTATCTGTCCCTGGAGGCAAAATTGAGTTATATATTAAATGGCTATTTTCTTTGTTTTCTGCTTAGGTATGCATGTAATGTGGTAGCATAATATATATTCCACACTTGTTTCATTCCTGCAGAGAGATAATATTTTTGCAGCTGACAGAGTAAAGACATCCTGTGCTTCTAGAATAAGAGAGAACATATTGGCAGGATAAAATACAGATGTTCCCAGTGTTTCTTCTACATCATGGTTGTATTCAGCAGAGGTTAACTTTCATGGGCATATTTCCCTATTCTTTTTTGGGCAGTTGGACACAGAAGTCCACAGTAAATTCAAGATTGTAAAAGGTGGCTTCAAGAAAAGTATTTCAAAATGCTTTTAGTGGTGGGAAAGTAGTTTAAGATTTAATCCCCTCCTTTAGAAAGAATGATGGCTTTAAGGTAACTTACCTGCTTCTCTGTAAGGAAAGAATGTGTATAGACATTTTTTCTCTTAAAGAATTTTATTATTCTTAATATAATACAGTACAAACAAAATTTCCTTCATACTGGTCTAAGAAAAATAAATATAAACTTCTGTGACAAAGATGATATCCTAATCACATGTTTGATCCTTTCCTTTTTCCCATTTCAGAAAGAAACAATCCAAGGAATGTAAAAGGAATATAAAAGATCATTTGTGTATTACTGTTGGAAACTTGTCACTGTAGCAATGAAGCTGAGGAGTTTTAACTGGAAATGGAACAGGTAAGAGTGAATAAAGGGGACACTGATGAGCCACTATTCACATTTTAGGTGTATGTTCTGGAAAAGTGAATTCTTCTTCTGTAATGATAAGAGAAAAATTTCCGGATAAATTAAGAAATCCAGTAGTTCAAATGAGGGGAATCAAATGTGAGCATTCAGATCAAATAATCTCTAGTACAACAGGCTTCCCATAGAATTAAGGACAAATAAGTATTAGGGATCCAATTTTCTTAATTAGATTCAAAAGAATCCTATGTTATTTTTTAAGTGCAAACTTCCACAAAGAAGTATAAATTGAGAGACAAAAAACAAATTTTGGGGATAAAAGGGAGAGTAGGGAACATTCTATCAGAATACAGAGTACAACCTTTAAGATTTGAGAATTCAGGAGAAAAACCAGAAGATGTTGAAGGAGGAGAAGTAATATCATGATTATATGGGTTCCAGAAGGAGGAAGTAGTGGATGAATGAAAAGCAACAGTCAAATAAACAAAAGAAGGCAACCTCTCTGAATTGAAGCCTTCAGCCTTGTACATGGAGCAGGGAGAGCAAAGATTAGGTGGATATAATGGAAAGGAATGGTATCCAGGTGGTTTTGGCTGGAAGCAGTCAGACGGGAGAAAAAAGTTACCAAAGGGAAAAAAAAGTTTGAAGGCATTAGATTTCTTATTTGCAACATTAGTGTTAGAAAATCCCAGGGAAAATGTATAGACTTCTTGAAAAAAAAGCACTATGTTCCAAGAATTAAATTCCATGTCAAGCTATTATCTAAATACAAAGGCAAATAAAAGCCTGGCTCAGATTTAAAAGAATTCAGAAATTATATGACTCATATTATGCTTTTTGAAAAATACAACTTAAAGTAGACCTTCAAGCAAAAACTAATCAAAATAAAGAATTTAATAAAGACAAATACATGGTTTAGGAAAAAAGAGCAGCGAGCAAGAAAAACTTAGATGTAAATCTAAAGAACTGCTTGTAAAGTGGTTGTGAAACTGTATGCAATTTATAACAAAGAACTTTAAAAAGAAAAATGTGTATAATTTTAAAAACCTCCTAGAGGCGTGGAGGTGAAGAGAGACACGGAAAAGGAGGGAGTATATTGTGACAGGTTTTATGTTGAACAGGGAGGGTCCATACCAGTAACTTCACTCTTGACGTTCATGGAGGATAAATTAAAATATGTTAAAAAAAAATTAAGACCAGTTTAAAATGAGGCCATTGGAGAAGAAGGAAAAAATGGGAAGTATTATTATTCCAAAGATTGGCAAAGTGTGTGTGTGTGTGTGTGTGTGTGTGTGTGAGAGAGAGAGAGAGAGAGAGAGAGAGAGAGAGAGAAGGGGAGAGAGAAAGAGGGGGAACAAGAGCATAAGAGTGAGAGAGAAATGCCAATTAGGTTTCTCTATTACAAGTTTACTTCAAGGCCATGATGGAGTAACTGCTATTGGATTTACTGTTCTGTAAAACTGAACCAAACATGTGAGATGACTACTTTAGTCATTGGAAGATAGGCAGTGCAGGACTATAGTCCCAGCAAGACAGGAAATAAATGAGGTGAGCACCACATTCAACCTGATTTTATGTTTGGGAACACTTTCCTGAGTTTGGCACAAAGTGGTAGAACCCAAGTGAAGAACATCAAGTCATACTGAGCTGAGAAAGAACTTGCAACAGAGGAGATGTAAAGGCAGTTGGAATTCACAGTGTAGAACTACAGAGACAAATGAATTCTACAGAAGGGACGTCTCTGTGTGGAGATTCTTCTTAGCTCTTTGGCTAAGAGCTGCTCTGGGATTTACCTGTATAGATTAAGATTCTCTAAGATCTCATGATTCTGTGAGACAGTAACTTGCTGTGGTGCTAAGAAATGAATGGAAATGCCAGAAGTCATGCAGCACTAAAATATATTGAAGTTGTGATCCAGCTATGGTAGAAAGACTTTACTGAGCACACTGGATATTCAATTGAGATCACAGAAAGGTCACTGTTTTGGAATAAGAGATAAGATAATATCCTAGGATTAAGGTTAAAATCCATGTAGATTTCCCAAACAGAGCATAAAATGAAGCCCTGGAAGATTAAGAGAATGAACCAGTTACATAGTTGCTGGCCAGAACCAAACATTACACTTTTACACGTAATCAAGATAATCTAGATCTCTACAATATTTCATCCATGACATGCTGTGTACAATTAAAAAGTCACTACCAGTGCTAAGAAGCAGGAAAATAGAATTCATAATCAATATAAAAAAGTAGATGATTGAGAGTTGCCTAGGTAGCTCAGTCAGTTGAGTGTCTGACTCTTGATCTTGGCTTAGATCTTGATCTCAGGGTTGTGAGTTCAAGCCCTATATTGGATTCCATGCTGAGCAGGGAGACTACTTAAAAAAAAAAAAAAGCAGGCAATTAAAGGAGATCCTGAGAATGGCTCAGATTTTGGAGTTAGAAGACATTTTTTTTTGAAAGACTTTATTTATTTATTCATGAGAGAGAGAGAGAGAGAGAGAGAGAGGCAGAAACACAGGCAGAGGGAGAAGCAGGCTCCATGCAGAGCGCCTGATGTGGGACTCAATCCTGGGTCTCCAGGATCAGGCCCTGGGCTGAAGGCGGCGCTAAACCGCTGAGCCACCAGGGCTGCCCAGAAGACATTTTTAAAATGGTGATTATAGGGATACCAGGCTGGCTCAATCAGTATAGCTTGTGACTCTTGATCTTGGGGTTCTAAGTTTGAGACCTATATTTGATTGAAGAGATTACTTAAAATCTTTAAAAAGTAGTAATTGTTAACATGTTCAAGGATTTAAAGAAAAAAAATGAATGTAATGAGCAGATGGAAATCTCAAAAGAGAAATATAAGCTGTATAAAAAGTATCAATTAAAAAATACTAGAAATGATCATTTCCCTTAATGGCTTAAGAGGAAATTGGACACTGCAGAATAAAAAGTATAATAACTCAAAAATAGATCAATTAGAAGATATCAAAATGAAAAACAGGATAAATTTTATTTTCTGTTTTTTAAAATGAACAGAGCCTCAGTATCTTGTGGAATGGTATCATTTGTCCCATATATAACTGAAGTCTCAGAGGAAAAGGAAAAAAGAATGAGTCAGGACTAGTTGAAGAAATAATAACCCCAAATATTCAAAACTTGGCAAAAAAATCAATCTATGGATTTAAGAAACTCGTAAGACCCGAGACAGTACATCTCTCAAAATAATCTTCAAGAATGGATGTCAAAAATATTTTGAAGGAAAATAACCTGATAAAATTTGTTTATAATAGTCATGGCACTAAAAGAATTGCCAAAGAAAGTTCGTTGGGCTGAAGATAAAATTTAGAATCACAGAAAGAAGGAATGGGGATAATTGGGAATGGTAAAAATGTAAGTAAGAATTTTCTTTTCTTACCTTTAAATTTCCTTAAAATATAATTGACTGATTCAAGCAAAAATAATAATGCACTGCAGTATTTTTAGCATTTGTAATGGTAACAGATGACCAGAACTTTAAGAATTGCAAGAGAGGGATCCGTGGGTGGCTCAGCGGTGGTTTGGTGCCTGATTTAGGCTTGGGGCAAGGTCCTGGAGCCTGCTTCTACCTCTGCCTGTGTCTCTGCCTCTCTCTTTCTCTCTGTGTCTCTTATAAATAAATAAAATCTTAAAAAAAAAAAAAGAATTGCAGGAGAGGGGGTGCCTGGGTAGCTCAATCAGTTGGTCTTCTGCCTTTGGCTCATGCCATGATCCCCTGGTCTTGGGAGTCATGATCCCTGGGTCCTGGGATTGAGCCCTGCATAGGGCTCCCTGCTCAATGGGAAGTCTGCTTCTCCCTCTCCCTTGGTCCCTCCCTCTCCTCTCATGCATGCATGCATGCTCTCTCTCTCTCTCTCTCAAATACATAAATAAAATCTTTTTAAAAAGTTTAAAAAAGAATTGCAGGAGGGTGAAATGGAATTCTACACTAGGAAGATTCTTATATTCTACTGAAATGTTAAAATATTAATTAGAAGTAGAATGTAATAATCTTAGGATGTGTACTGGAATCCCTAGAGCAGTCACTAACATACATACACACACACCCACACACATATACATATACATGTACACACAGGAAATCAAAGAAACAATAAAATGGAGTACTACAAAATATTTTGTGGGACCAAGAAGACAGAAGAGAATTAACAAAGAAACACACATGAGATGGGACAAATAAAAAGCAAATTGCAGGGGATCCCTGGGTGGCGCAGCGGTTTGGCGCCTGCCTTTGGCCCAGGGCGCGATCCGGGAGACCCGGGATCGAATCCCACATCGGGCTCCCAGTGCATGGAGCCTGCTTCTCCCTCTGCCTGTGTCTCTGCCTCTCTCTCCCTCTCTCTGTGACTATCATAAATAAATAAAAAAAAATTAAAAAAAAAAAGCAAATTGCAAGATGGCAGGATTAAATGCAACCATATTAATAGTTACATTGACTGAGAATGCACTAAATATTCCTGTTAATAATAAATTTCATGATAAAAAAAGGCTAGTTCATCAAGAATATACAACAGTCTTAAATGTGTATTCATCTAATCACTGTGTTTAACACAGCTCCTGGCACACAGAACTATTATTAATGGAAGGATGACTCAACACAAGGAAATCCATTAATGTAATTCACTATGTAAATAGATCAAAGGAGGTAGAACTCATGACATTTCAATATAGGCAAAAATGCATTTGCTAAAATTCAATCATCACTCTTGATTAAAAACAAGTAAACAATAACTCTTGGCAAACTATCAGTAGAAGGAAACTTTGTTAAGCTGATAAAGGTTAGCATAAACCAAAAGCAAATATTTTATATGAAATATTATAGTCATTCCTCCCAACGTTAGAAATATGATAAATTTGCTCTGAGCATTTTTTGCTTTTTAATCTTGTAATGGAGAGTCTAACTAATGCAATAAGACAGGAAAGAATAATATATATAAATATTATAAAGGAAAGGCATAGGTATAGTTA